ATTTAACATTCTAAACTTAAAATGTTAGGTTTTGGTTTATTTAGTATTAATTTACATTCATATGTTTAACTTTATTATTATATACTGTAGAGATTGAGTGTAACCCGAATTACGGATCATCCATGTGACTCGGTAAAGTTGTCTGATCTCTAGCTAGATTCCACCAATAAAAGAAGGACAGTGATCTTTTAACATTGGAACATCATGTTCTCAGTTTGGTTAATAAAAGGAATGAATTAGGAATTCAAATAATTATTACCGTATTTTCGCGAAATAACGCCTATGCGCGTTATTTCGTCACGGCTAAGCTTAATTCAGACCAAAATTCGAAATTCACCCCTGCGTATTATCGCGAGAATACGGCGATTTTCTTCTTAAGCACCAGTAAACAAACAAAATACTATATGTTTTAGGTTGGCGCGGGATTCATGCGAATGGAATCAGTCTAAATTGATTAGAACATACTAGAATTAAAAGTAAGGGCTGGTGATAAGATTAGTGTTAAACAAAAATTGTGAAGTGATTTACAATCTCTAATCTTCATTCCCACTTACCACATATAGAAAGAATATAAACCACCTGTTATTTATTTCAATAAAATCTTTTATAACAGTGTAATTTCCGATTTACAAAATTTTATTCCAATAAATATATAAATATAGATACAAGAGAACTTTTAATAAAAACAAAGGGATGTCATGTGTTAAATTTGAAAAAAATACGTGCCAATGATAATTCAAAGTTCATTCTTATTACTAAGGGAATGGCCTTGATGCAATATTGTCATTTGGACGGGATGGGCATGGACGGAACAAGATAAAATAGGGATTTGTGACAAATTTTATTGTAAATTATTTCTTGTCTTGTAGCTCAGTGATTTTGAAATAAAATCGTGTCAGCCCGGGTGGTCCTCCTGCCCTTGCTACAGAGACAATAGTAATCTAACGATCTCAACCTATTGATAATAAAAATACAAAGCTTTGCATTAGGAACATTAATTTTATTAAAATTAATGGACAATTTTTTGCCAAGTTGGGACGAGACGAGATAGGACATTTGACCCGTGGACAACATCTTGAGGTTAAATTAAGTAAAATTTTACAGGGGAGGTGTACTTGAACAGTTGCTATGGGTAAATCAGCATCACATTGGCGGATTTGCTGTTTCTCTATGTTAAGTCCCGCCTGTTACGCAAAAACACATGAAGTTAGCGTCCCATCTTATCTAATACATAATTTTTGATCGAGCACATGGTGTTCTTATAAGTTATCTCGTTATTTTATTATTTATATTATTTATTATAAACACAATGAATTCATTTCTACTAAGTACTATGTGCGTACTTCACCAAAATATGTCATCATGTTCCTCAAATCATTACAAAAAAATGACAAAATTTCGGCTTAAAAGGTAAAAAAACGAATGAGATAATTCAAACGTCTCTTAAAATAATTACAATAATCGAATTTAAAAAAAATTGTTTATGTTTTTCGTATTACGAGTTTTAATCAATTAATCAATTTATTACGTCATAATGATGGAAACTATAGTGGTAACAAATAAATAACGAAATATTTACCATTACTTTGATTTTGTACGCTAATGAAGAATGTCATAATTGTTGATAAAAGATAAGCTTATTTTCTGGATAAAATTATTCACAAGAGATTTTCATTGTTCTTGCATATATAAACCACGCGCATAAAAAGTTCTCTTGTTGATTATCTCATATTAAATATGACATAATTTAACGTATGTGTAAAGTTGAATCATTTGAAATGCATCAATAAAAGTAACATAGGAAAAAATTAATTCGTTCGCGATACTTTAGTATCTTTGGAAATAAATATCATTTAGAATTAATTGATTGGTTGGATTGATACCAATTCCAATAATTATATTTCTCTCTTATTTAGTAGGGTCATTATTTGGGGGAGGGGCTCTGAATCAAATCGGTTGCAGATCAAAAATTAAGTTTTACTAATTTTCCCCCAAGTTTTGATTGGACAATGGAAATCAATCGCTGATTGGATAAAATTGATTACGCAGCATAAATACCCGACATAAAGAAATGAAAATATAAGAAACCTATGCATAAACCCAGCTTGGTGTATTAATAAAAAATGCTCAGAAGGAAATTTTACATATAACTGGGATCTCTAACTATACAAAGATGTTTTTAAATATTGCTTAATTTGATTTTGTCCAATCAGCGATGAGATCTTCCATCGTCCAATCAAAACTTGGGGGAAAAAATTTTCAGCCAACCAAAAAAGATTAAACAAAATCAGGGGATGGATGAACAGAAAATTACCTAATAAATGACCCTACCCTAATCATGTATTCGCACATACATATAAGTAATTGTGAAATGCCATTGTTTTGGTAAGTTGAACACGTTGCATCCGTAAAAGGAAAGCTATTATTATTTGCTTCCGTGTGTTTCCATTGTTTTGTTTGACATAATGCACATAGAATATGCTTATATTGATGTCCCCACATTCCCACATTCATTAGTTTTGTTCATTATACGCACCGTTGCATCATCACATAGGGTGTTTACCGAGTTCTCGAAAAATTTCCTTTATCCCTGTATATGTACAATTTGGAATAACAATGATCTGCCAATGGCCTATCACTATAGTTACCGCTCTTAAAATTGGGTGACTATAGAGGGGGGTGACTATAAATGACGGTGACTATAACCGTATTTCATCAGATCGAAAATTGACTCAAAAAAAAAAAAATTGATACTTATAGATCTTTTTGATGCTGATGATACAAATAAGCGTTATTTATTTGCTTGATACTGTATTTATTTATACACTCTTTAATCTACATTCGAGAGAAATACACACTTTCTCTCTGTGTGTGTGTGTATGTGTGTGTGTCATCTTTTCCTTTTTTCTCACTTGCTAAGAATTTTCCCACATGTACGTGATTCAATGTGTCAAGGTTGCGAAAAACATGGTTATTTACTTTTGAATCCACGAATTAAGTAAACTCATTAGTTAATGAATGTTTTACTAACATACGTTTTCCTACACTCCTACACGCATACATGCATCTCTTTCATAAGTTCAATACATTTTTCTTTCATTGTGGCGCGTCTCTCTCACAAGTTGTAATACATTTTTCTTTCATTATAACGCAAAAAGCAAAAAAAAATCTTCCAAACGCAAATACGAATGCACATATGCTTCGCGTATCTCATTTATTTTTTCTTGGGAAATTTAAGGGGAGTAACAAGAGAGTTTGAACTGTGTATTACATGAAAAGATGTCCCTCTCATTTCCCTTAGCACAAATAGCATGTATCTGCGAATAGTAAAAAGAACAAAAAATCTTGTGAGATTGCGTAAAGTTTGCATTTTTGTATGTTCCGTTAGGGCTGAGTTTTTTTGCCGTAACAAATCCATTGAGAAATGCTTCAAATGAATGAACAACAGGATCTCAACAAGTAATCTTCAAGGAATAATACATCTCATACTAATTTTTTTCACACTTGAAACAGAAAGATAATATTTATTCACCGCGATGTATACATAATAAGGGACTAAATAATTTATAATGTATATAAAATAAGTAATTGGTAATATTTCTTAAAGGAGTAAGATCTCTCTGTATTCGAAATAGAAACAGTCTAAGAAAGTAAAAAATTTCTTGTCGGCGTCTCGATTATTCTGGTTAAATGAAAAAACGCTATGCACACCGTCTTTTCTGTTTTTAAGTGGACAAAGTACACATAGAACAATGGGGATATTTCCAGACAATAATGCAAATATGCTTTTTCATGTTCCGAAAAAGTCTTAGCCCACTTTTCATATCTGATCGTTATTTTAAATTATATATATGTTCAATTGATCATGACTTTTCGGGAAATATATACCGTATACACAAAAAGTATAATACGAAAAGAAAAATGAACATGATGATAATAATGATAATTATTCTGTTTTCACTTCATTCCGGAAAGAAACAATTAAAATCTGCAATAAATCTTTTCCTTCGTAAGAATTTTAGTAATGATGGCACTGATTATTTATGCATAAATAATCAGCATCGAAAATTAAATGTTATGTAATCAAATGGCACACCGATTTGAATATATATAGTTTGGCATCTTTTCATAGTGAGGAAAATTTTTGTGTATTTACGTAGACAAAGGATATTCCGATGTACATAACAGATATACACATTCATTCATTAATTCATTGGTTGATTGATTAATTGAATATATATGCAAACGTGTAGTAACCGTGGATTTATTAAGAGCATTACGATCATATAGAATACTATTATTTCACAGATACCAGATCTACGATAGGAAAAGCGAACAGAGAAAAGGAATAGACCAGAAAACAGGACAGAAACGAAAAAAACGGATTTATGAAAACCAGAAGTAGATTGGCTACCCACCCAAATTTAAATACAGCCCATTATTATATATAAAAAAATTAAATAAAAAGAAATGAAGACTATTTACGTGGGAAATATTAAAAAGGGGAAGAAAATAAAGATACATAAAAAACTTTTTATATAATTTTGATTTATATATGAGGATAGGGAAAGATTGGGGGATGAGTCAGTAGAAACCAAGCAAATATACCAGGGTAATGGTAATTTGCTTGGTTTCTATTGACTCACCCACAGATAACTAATACCACGCATATAATGCAATGAGTGAAAATTTAGGGAAGACTATGTAAAGGAGGGATTGCATGCGTGTTTTTTTTTAAAGTAAAAAGGATGCAATTTTTAAATTTAGGAAGACTGTAATGTTGATTTTAGATGCGGATGTAATAGTGATGATGATAATAATAATTGTTGTTTGTTAAAACTGAAAAGGAAAAAAGAAATAAATTCAACAAAAATACCGGGATATAATATTACATATAAATTAGAAAATGGACAATAAATATTTACTCGTAATGAACAAATATTCAGCCAGTGAAATTAAACAAAGTTGTTTTTCTTGTAAATTTGATCGGGTGACAATTTCTAGTAATATTCTATAATTAATTAATATATATACGCCTCGACATTTATATCTGTTCTGGACGAACAATTACCATTTTATTTGTCACGATAAATTGTTGTGATGATGATGGTGGTTCTATCATCATTGAACGATTATGATATTGATGATGATTCGCGAATGCATTAATTTCGCCTGTTGATGTAGCAATGTCATTACCATGTTCACCGAATCCTATTGATATTAGTTCCGGAACACCAAGTTGTTCGCGAAGTAAGTCGGGGATCGCTAATTTTTCTTGAGAATGGGATTGAACTATCGAAGGAGGTTTAATATTCATTTGCGCCACATTATTATTAGCTGATGATGAATATATTGGCATTACACTATGCTGAAGGAGATGTGGCTGATAAAATGGCATCATTTCCTGATCATGTGACATTGATGATTGATCATTTACATTTGGATTTGTCGTTGATGCACTATTATTGTTATTGTTCATTAGTATATAACTTTGATCATTAGAGAGATGACGATGTTGCGGTGTAATATGATATTGATGATACTGATTATGATAGTATGGTTGTAAATGAGACTGCGATTGTTGTATAAATGGTTGCTGTTCATTAGAAGAGAATCTCCGTTGATTTTTCGGCGAAGAGGAGCCACCAGCACTAACGATTTGTCTATTAAATGATGGTGGATATTGTCCATTATTATTTGAAGAAGTATGTAACATCGAGGTCACTACTGTTCCATTATTAATCATTGGCCGTGATGGTAAAGTCGACATCCGTTTATCCATCACACCCATGCTTCCTGCTCCTATTTTACCGGGTTTCTGGACTTTACCAGTTGCCGCTGGTCCACCTCGATTTCTCTTCTTTATCACATCGGTTTTCAGACTAAGTGGTCGCACAACGCCGTGTAGTTTCAGAAATAGTCCACATGCATTACATAACGGTTGTCCTTCCGGATTACGTCGCCAAAGTGGAGTTGTTTGTGTATTACAATTGGTGCACGTTGGATTACTGGACTTATTATGTCCACCTGTCATACTATTATTAGTGATGTTATTATTGTTATTGTTACTATTATTGTTATTGTTTCCAGTAGTAGTGGTATCACTGTTAGCAATATTGTCATCATTTTCGTTTTCTTCATTATGATAACTGTTGGAATTATCATCATCATGATGATTGTCATTTTTACTTCCGCCTTTTGATATTGAATTTGCAATAGAACAATCTCCACGCGAAGGTGATCTTGGTCGCTTTCCGGTTGGTGAAGTATTTCCTCCTAGTGACGATGATGATGGCGAAGCTTTCTCACATGCATCGCTGTTTATTAATAACTGTGATGGGGGTGATGCTACTAAATTAAAATTGTTTTTGACATTTGTCCTAATAACATCGCAACCGGGTGATATTGAATCATCCTTTAAACGTCTTTTTTGTAAATCGTCATCATCATCATTATTCTCATTGCTATTACTACTATTATCATTATTGTTGTTGTTGTTGTTATTTTCCCCAAATTCTCCAGCTCTCCCATCATCATAATTGTTGTTATAACCACCAACGGCCTTATCGTCATCATCGTCGTCGCCGTCGTCGTCATCATCATCAGCATTAATAGTAGTAGTAGTATTCGCTTGAATCCAATCACCAGCAACACCGCCAGTGCGTGGCTCCGGTGACGTTATTGCATTATATGGAATTGGATTAATTGTTGATGATGCTGTTGTCGTCGATGATGAGGCGAGTAATTGAGATGGATTAATATGTGAAAATTGTGGTGATGGTTCTCCATTTCCACTCATGAGATTAAGATATATATAGTCGTAAAGAGCATGTGAATTATGTGGACCATTTACGATTTCTCCTGGGTTCGTGGGATATGGAAAGAAGAAATTCGGACCATCAGGTGTTGTGATTGGTGTGCTGCTAGCTGATGGATGAATAGATATATCTACATTTAATGTTAATAATTTTTATTAGTTGTTCAATTTTTTGCTAGTCAATAAAAAGAATTTCGGAAACTACATACTATTTTTTATACCCTCAGCAGCAGCGCCATAAGTTTCCATTGTATGTTGATCGTATGGAGAATTACAAGGTAATGTATATTGTGTATTTGTTGATGCTGTTGTCGCGACAGAGGAAGACATTGAATCTGGTAAATCAAGATCGGAATCTTCCCCGGTATCTGTCGGTATTGTAATACTTTTCACCTTTTTAAAAGATGTATGATCAATAGGCATTGTAATACCGTTATTACGATGATGATTATTATTGATGGCGTTATTATTAACACCGCCATTTGAGAACATCGTAAGATTTGCGGCGTTTATACGTGCAGAAATTCCAGTAGGGTTTCTTTTATTCATTATGTTATGTGAAGTTGCTGATGTAGTGCCAACGCCGAAATGTGAAGTTGACGATGCTTCTAAATTCAATTCATAGTTATTGGAACTTGGAGCATCATCAAAACAAGACGAGATGCTCGAAGTTGTTAACATTGATGTTGATGTTGGTATGGGAATAGCTGCCGATGTAGTAGAAGATAAAATGGGCGAAGTCGATGAAGTTGAAAGATCATCTTCGTTAAGACTGGCAGTTGAGTCTGGTGATGCTACCATATGCGAGTTATTTTCATCCATGAAGATCATTGCTTCGAATCCATGGTCTTCTGTATTATGATTGTTGTTGTTTGTTATTTTATGTTTGTTATAAGTTAAAGTAGGATTATGATTATTTTGTTTGTTACGTGTTTCTTCGTGGTTTTCTCTTTCTGAATCTACCATCTCAATATCGCCGACATTTCGATAGATGTTGAAGATATTTCTATATAAAAAATGGAATTAATTATGCATATTTACACATGAATATTAATAACAAAAAAAAACATACCGAGTTTTCGAGGTTCCACGTGTTTGTCGTCGTTGCAGTGCATAATTATTATTATTAGACAAAGAAGTGGTAATAAAAGGACTTGACGGTGAATTCTTTACATCATCATTATTATTTTTATTATAT